TATATATATATATATATATATATATATATATATATATATATATATATATATATATATATATATATATATATATATAAAGCTGCATGTGTATAATGTTGTTTCATATGTTATGAATAGTAACCTTATGGTTTTGTCTGAAGAAAAAAGGGAGGAGATATGTCAAGCTATGGTACAATTGCAGAAATATGATGTAGGATTGATTGCACCAACTCAATTCTAATGGGCCTTTTAATATGCAGAGTAAGGAAGGGTTGTAGGTCATCTTATCAGGGGATTTGTCCTTTCATTGAAGAAGGAAGCTAACTGTACAATTGAACAAGAGAAGCTTCTGTGGTCACTGTACAATTGTGTCAGAAAGATCCCCTTTTTTTTTTGTTTTTTGTTTTTTTTTTTTTTTTTGGAGTCCTTTAGGGAGGCAAAAGAAGTGCCCATTGACTTGTTGTGTTTGCTAAAAATGGGAAAACTAGTAGGTTTTGGAAGGAAGACTAACATCCTCAGTAATATTTTATGCATTTCTTTTTCTAAAGTAATGTGGTTATTTTCTTTTGGTAAAAAATATATATATACTTTGAGCTTCTGATCATTATTTATTTATATGGTCACAATTTTTTATCTGCAGAAATGAATTCTTTTTCCCTCCATTCATGCTATGAATGTTGCCATTGACACTGACACACTGATTTATCTGGAAAACAAAAGGTGGGATTCCCAGTAAAAATTCCATATCTGAGAGAGAGAGACCAAAAAGAAATATGCTCATCACAAGGATATACTTTCCCTGAACGAAACTTGTTCTACAAACTGATGAAACGAGGAGGAAGCTTGTTACTTTCCATGACACTGTTGAATGGCTGTTTTTCTATTTGTATGATACATGAGAGAGAGTGACAGAGAGAGAGAGAGAGAGAGGATGCATCTTTCAGGTATGTGAAGATCATATTAAAACCTTACTCCCATGAGACTTTCATGATACAGTATGAATCCATGAAATCCTCTACAATATTATGAAATAGTAAAACTTCAAACAAATTAATATCAGCCAAAACTGTGAGATAAATGCTTGAACATTCTCAGGTCATTATTGTTCAGAAGTAAGAAAGCAACACCAAGACATTCGATTACCAACAGTCGATGAGAGTTAAGGTGATCATCATACCTTCGAATCCTGCAAAATAATTGGGACGATCATTAAAATGACCACTATGTCATCCATAATTCCTTCACCCAAAATCAGAAATAGTAGATAGAAGTACTGCTGCATCCATTGAGAGAGAGAGAGAGAGAGAGAGAGAGAGAGAGGCATGCTTGGCTCCTTGCACACCACCCACAGTAACCAATCGCCCGTGGATCGGTCTACATGTGTGGCATACAAGGAGCCAGGCACATCCCTTGTCACCTGTGATCCTTGCGCCATGGCCACTTCTTTTTCTTCTTCTTCTTCTTCTTCTTCTTCTTTAAGGATGCAAGACCAAGTAGAAAGAGGATTAGAAAGCTCATTGCTTCTCTCACAGTGATCAAAAAGTCAAATCTATAAAGCTCTTCCACTTCCTGTAAGGATCTATACCACCAATTCCATTTACAGAGAGAGATGATGATGAGTGGGGGGAGGCCATGTCGAAGCTAAGCTAACACAGGCTTGGCAAACCCTATCACAGTCAAGGCCTCAGATGCTTCTCTCTCTAACTGTAGCTGTGGGACTGGGTGCCGGTGGGGATACTGGAGGAGAGGAAGAGTGAGAGAGCTGCCATGACTCCCAAGCTCTCAGGGACTCAGAGGGGGGAAACAAAGAGAGGAGAAGGCTCCCAGGTGTGGGGATGTTCCTTCTCCTGTCTGCTTGCGCAGTGGATTTTGTCTTGATCACTTGGATTGACTCAGATTCTCTCAGATAGCTCCTCACCGTCAATCGGAAATTAGTTGACAGCAGCTTATTGCTTGAATGGCTTGTCATGCAGTGGCTAAAAGTCAATGTGACATGAAGAGAACCTGCAATATAATTGTTCATGCGGTTTGACCCCAGTTGCACCACCAAGCCTTCAATCTGACTAAGGTTTGATCTGAAAAAGGTGTTGTTCTTCATGTGAGTTCGTGCGAGCAGTTGTACCACACATAACAGTGGAAGTAAATGATGTGTGTTGTTACTGATAAATTAAGTTGATGTCAAAAAATTATATAAAATTTTAATTTATTTAATATTTGATGCAAAGATGAGTTAATATATAATTGAGATACAAATATGTGTTTCTTAAATAAAATTATGGTTGAAAAAGACAATACGGACGGATGGATAGATGAAAGATGTGGAACACTACGGACCACAATAATTATCATGTGGTGCCGATTTGTTGTTAGTCATAAATGTTTCTTAGATTAGTCGTGAATCGTAGTGTCAAAGTTGTTCACACACACAAACAACATATCATATGTCAATAGAAGCATAAATAATATATATATATATTATCATTACTAAAGATATATTTTATGATGTCTATGCTTAAAAAAATATATATATGCTTTCAAATATATTATGCACAAAGTTCTTTGAAATACTAGTTCGACATATATAAAAGCATCAATGCCTATGTTACGTTTTGCAGTAAAAAAGTATGATCCTTCGGCTTAATAAATATAACTATGCTAGTAGACTTGACTATAAAGTTAAGGTAATATACATGCATACATAGATTAGAAGAGACTTTCTCATTGCAATAAGCCTTTGAGTGATCCTATGAGTTTGATAATGATTGAAGTAAGTTTAAGATTCAAACATCATTTATATAGAAGATAATAAGTTATTTATATATAGATGAAGTAATGGATAATTAAGTAGAGATAAAAATTAAAAAAAAGTGTTACATTAAGTTACGATATATAAAGGAGATTGAATGATAAATTTAGATTGACATATGTCATCTTTAATAAACAAAATTTGTCTCAAATTAAATTACTGTAACACTAAAATTATGTTAAAAAAACTTGAGATGAGGCTTAATGGGATTGAACCCTATATCTCAAGCACCTCTATTATATTTTGGCTTCATCAACCTTACTCACCTGATAACTCATAATCTTTTTTCTCCTTCTTCGGTCATTCTTTAAGCACCTATAAAGAAGAAGAAGGTAAGAAAACCTAAGTTTTTCCCTCGCTATACTTTAGTAGTTTAATTCAACATATTATGAACTAAATCTTTTTAGCTACTTTTAATTATCCTAATCTTTGAATTAACCTCTAATTTTTATATATATTATGTATAAATTTGATATGATTATGAAACCTCTAGTATTATTTTAATCTAAGATTAGTACATAGAGTTATGAGCCTTCTAATTTGAGATACTTAGAATCTCTTTTTTTTTTAAGATGATTTATTCGAGCTGAAATAACCCTCTTTGATATCTTAAAAGGATCTTTTAGAGTTTTGTAGGTTTTGGAATTAAGTGAATATCATATGTGTGCACCAAGATATAAGTCTATAAGTTTAGATAATCTCAATCCAGTTTCAACAGAACATAATAGATGATAATAGTTGAATTGAGAGGGTATTTTAGCGATTATGTTTTGAGTTAAAATTTAGTGTATATCTTATTTTATATGTCTCTTCTATAAAATTTTATGATAATCTAAAATAGTTTAGTTAGCCATTATGGTCAAGAAGATTATTTTATAGAATCATGTAGTCATTTGATTGATAACAATAAAATCATTTGATTATAGGTGAAATTACTAGCACATTGGTAATAGCATTTAGATGAATTTGCAGGTTTGATATAATTTAATTGAGAGAGACTTCTGTCAAGATTTTATTACCAACAATTTTATATTGAGAGTTATGAGTGATTTAAAATAAAATAATTTTAATTTAAGCATATCATGATATGTTTTCAATTTCCTAGCACACCCATTCACTAAGGACTGACCTCTTCGATAAAAACTTTATTTTAAGTTGAATCAAGTAAGTATAAGCCAAATTTACTATAAAATAGTGCTAAACTCAAATATATTTTGAAATAATAACGACAACAATAAAGTTGTATCCTAACTATTTGAAATCGACTACATAGATCTTTTATCGCTATTGAGATCTATAAAATATTATATGTTTAATTAAGTTTGGATTACTTATATCTTCTTTATAGTTTCTTTTAAAGTATTCCTCTCTCTCCTTTACAACTAATATTAATTATTTCATCTCTTCGACTATCACATCCAAGGGTTTTCTCATTACATACTCATATCATCTTAAATAATTTTTTCTCATCTTATTTTATATCGAAGTGATACTTAATTGTTTACGAATAAAAGTACTTCTTTTTCAATCTTTCATAGAGTTAGCCATGAACTTAATGCATGTTTGAAAGATTATTTTTAGTGATAGGGTGATTGACATGAGATAGTTATAAGTATGGTGCTAATATATACATTACATAAGAAGAAAGATATATGAACCGTAAAAAAATAAATGCTATGTATGTATATATGATTACGTGCGGTGTGAGAGAACACTTATATATTTATGTGGTGTCGAAGTGCAAACAAATATTATTACATGCGATGTTGGAGTGCATAGACATTTACGTATGATTTGGGAGTGCACGAATATATTATTACCTGCGATGTGAAGTACAAAAATATGTTTTAGTATGGTATGAAAGTGCACATACATGTTATAATGTATGATGTGAGAATGCATATATATATATATATATATATATATATATATATATATATATATATATATATATATATATATATATATATATATATATATATATATATATATGTGGTGTCGAAGTGCAAACAAATATTATTACATGCGATGTGGGAGTGCATAGACATTTACGTATGATTTAGGGAGTGCACATATATATTATTACGTGCGATGTGAAGCTACACATATATGTTTTAGTATGGTGTGAGAGCGCACATACATGTTATAATGTATAGTGTGAGAATGTATATATATATATATATATATATATATATATATATATATATATATATATATATATATATATA